TTTTTACCCTTACTAATCTCAATTGAATCTATTCAAACTAATTTACTTTTCGGAATGTATACATTTTTCTCAGGATCCCCTACCATCGCACGATCGTTCCTCATCGCGTAAGAACATTTACAATCGGTTATGGGAATCGCATGATCTGCTGTACAAGGATCATTGCGTTAGGTAGCAGCATGAAGGTTGAAGGAGTGGAGTAGATTGGGTGGATTCAGAGGGGTGGGAAGGCGATGGGGCCGGTTACATATAAAGCATAGGTCTCGAAACGAGACCTCGGGGTGCCGTGTCGCGGACCCAAGAGGTCCATGCTGGAAAAACTCAGCTGTTAACTGCTCCAGCCGAACGGCAACCATCGACCTTTATCCTCACCTTGTCCTCCTCCTTATATGTATGTTGCGTGTTTGCGTGTATGCATTTACAAAATAATGGAACAGAAGGATTTATGACCAACAATTTAAATTAATGATACATAAAAGCTCGATGGTTCTGTTTAATTTAAAAATTTAATGCTGAACCTATTTGTGTTTTCTACGCTGTATGTATGTTTTAGTGATAATTCAGTTGTTAATGCCAAAAGCTAAAGATATCGAGATTTTTAATAAAATTTAATGATTTTTGCTGTACAGAAATGAGATCGTGATTATCATTACCTTTGGCTTGACAAATTTATTTACGGATTAGAATTACCATTAGGTCACAAGCATATTCGTAAGGGGCTGGAAATAAATAACGAGATCGAGCAGAGTCGAGGAGCAGGATGAAAGGCCAGGGGACCAACAATCGGAAAACAGCGTTGTTGGTGGTCGGCTGTAGCCAACTGGCAGGAGCCGACGACGCGAAAGTGCCGTTCGAGGATTCCTATTTCCCAGGATCCCACGGCTGCTATACGCGTCTGCCCGCAATACTCCGTCTTTCTCTGCACTGCGGTAATCATAATTACACCTGCGGGTGTCTTCTTATCGCCGCTCGCTCTCGTCCGATCCCTCTCGATCCACCGCCATCCTTCGAGGATCCTTATCCTCTTTCCGTGCGATTGTCCGCCGTTCTGACTTAGTCCGAGGCAAGATATCTCAATCTAAGATAAGAACGATCTTCAATGATTCCTATTAGAGATATAAAGGATAGATCGTCGAAATTTCAATCGCGTTTAATCGAAATTTATAATAATTAATTATTATATATTATTACACTTTATTATATACACACTGAGAGAAAAGTATTTGATATTTGTGATAATTAAATAATAAAATATTTATGTTTAGGTTGTATTGTTACAATTATTATTGCTCTAATGATAGTAATAATAATTATCATATTAAACAATAAATTTTTATTAGCATTTTGTTTCTAAAAAAATAATACATATTTTATGTAAGGCTTTTTACATTGAAAAAGGATATTCTTTTCAAAAAATTCCTTAAACTTTTAATTGAATTTCTTGTGTAATATATGTGATATATTTATATCTA